GTGTGTGCCGGCACGTTGATCTTCTTTTCTTTGGCGGTGGGGTAAAAATTTGCCTAAATTTCTGAGTGGTAAAGTTCAAAGGGGAGGAGGTGTGCGGATTTAGCCGCCTGAACTCTTGTTTGATAATGTAGTCTGAGCTGAAATAAAATTCTAACTCATAAAAAGGATATTCTTGCATCGTGAACTTCTATCACACAGTCGCATTTTCGTATCCGCAGTTGCATCTTGCGGAATCCTTTCAAGAACCAAGCAGAGAAATAAAGTTGAGCATATGTGATACGTCGAGATTCTGCAGAAAACAGAGTATGATGAATAACTCACCTTTTGCCATACTTCCCGGAAACCATTTTAAAAAGATGCTTGGGTGAAATTCATCTGGAAGTCGGAAAGACGGTCGAAAACTTGCATTTGCAAGCCACAACTCTGCACGACTTACATACGGACTGACCGCCATCTTTGATTTGAGTTGCGCGAATGGTATGCCGGGACTTCTTGCAATACCGCTGAAGATGGAGCTAAAAACGCGGGCGGATAAACAACGCTGCTTAGATTCCAAGTCGATGAGTGTTTTAGCAAACAAGCGAAATGTAGAGCTTTGTAAACAAATGTAGAGTTACCTTCACCACTTTTCCCGTGTGGCTTTGAAAGAGAAAACATAATGCCTGGGATTACGAGTAAGTTTCTGTTCAAATTCAATGGAATTCCGTAAGATCAGTCGCTTGAACGTCGCTCGTTTAATCACCCCCAAGCTGGCAAAATTTTTGGCGTCCTTTGCTGCTAATAAGCCTCATTTGTAAATAACTGATAGATTCTTTCGATTTACACTAAGCCTTTCTTTTTTAGTGATAGGAAAGTTGCCTGACGGTTGGGAACGCTCTGAAACGACCAACGGAATCCCATATTACATCAAGTATGTGTGGTATACGAGCTATTTCACATCCTTTACATTTCAACGAAATAAGCTTACTAGTGGATCGAGTAACTTACTTCATGAATTTCTTTATTACACCACCCTTAATATCTGCATCCATGCAGTTGTGTGACTTGTCGCATTTTGTTCCCCAAAATATATCACATATTCTTGATTTCAAAGCGTTCATGCTAAGTAGTGATGGGAAGTTTTATAATGGCCTGCACAGGAAGCAACTGATAAATGCATAACTTAAACTTATTTTCCGTGTACTTTGTTTACGAGTGCAACTGTGAAAACGTGACGTTCTGATAACACTTCCCCTGTGTTTTAATAATGACACAAGATGGCAGAAAAAAAACCATTGGGAGCTACATGTAGATCCTCAACTGACACATAAATAACGTATCTCAACTGACAACTGACACATAATCAAAGTATCAGATCCTCAACTGACACATAAATGAAGTATCTTCTTCTTATCTTCTTGTTCTTCATGATTGTATCTCGCTCCCAGTGCTAGTTAAGCTTAATTATTTATACATGTACTGTGCATGATATCATCACTTAGAAATGGTAAGTGATGATAGTTATTTTCTGTATAAGCTTACTTATTAGGATCACGAGTATAACATTACCTTAGTCCTGGGTTTAAACTGTGTATTAAATACAATAATAATTTGCCTAAAACTACTCTGTGATTTTACAGCCAAGGCTACAATTCAAACTTACTTGTAGATACCTCTTGACAAACAAGTCATTTGTTTCAAATTTCCCTTCTTCAAAGCTGAGAAGCTGGTGTTAAAAATGAGACTTTGGAATTGGATGCAAAGTGCATTGTTGATTAAATTCATCGCACAGCTATATGAGAATTTGAAGAAATGGGACAGGTCACCTTAAATTTTTGTCACACCATACAATTACATACTTTTATTTCATGTCCCCTTGGGGCTTTTCAGTCAAATATATTACAAGATTAAAGGATAATAATAATAATAATTTATTTCTAGCGCATTATATTAAAAAATCTCAATGCTCTTACAGAATAAAAACGAGAAAAATGATAACGAAACCAATATAAGGAAAATATATTAAATTACAATGGATGATAAAATACTAAAATTCATTAAATACTAAAATTCATCATAAGATACTAAAATTCATTATAGAAATACTAAAGATCATTATTAAACAAAAACATTTTAAGCTTAGTTTTAAACGTATCCACTGATGGGGCACTTCTCACATCAAGTGGGAGGCTATTCCACAGTGCTGGCGCACAAGATGGAAAAGCGCGTCCCCCATAGGTCTTTGTCCTAAACACCGGTATGTACAGTCACAGGTGATCATTATTTGAACGAAGACACCTTATCGGTTGACGAAGATTAATAAGTTCCGCCAAGTTCCGCCAAGTTTATTAATAAGTTCCGCCAAGGATATGGAGTAAATACCAGCTGTCAACAAATTAGGGGGCCCATCGATTTCTTGTAAACCAGCTCGGAACAAGTGTTAGTTCTGGGTTTCTGGTAAACCCAAATAGTGAATAGCGAATAGTCACAAATAGTGAACAGCGAAAAGTCCTGAATAGCAAATAGTGCGAATAGCCTTGAATAGTGGTGAATAGTGGCAAATCGTGGCAAATCGTGGTAAATCATAGCAAATAGGGTACCCAGGATCTCGGAATCAACTTTGCAGCAACATAGGATGGGATTTTCCCACTAAAAAGCGCAAACTCTTATCAGGACAAAGGGTGTTTCTAAACATAATTTCCTCTGTTTTAACCAAGTGCTGCAAAAGCGTAAATACGTCTTTATTAGGTTATCCTTGTGTTTTCTGTATTCTTGATGTCGGCGATGGACAGCCCTAGCCTGAGTCTGGAGAAGAAAAGGTAATAAACTCACTGAAATTCTGTTGCTTATTTGGATAATTAATTAACGCAGGATATTAGATCTAAAGCAGTGACTATTGACAACTCTTCATCACTATTCACCACTTTCGCTACTACAGTGTATTCGCACTATTCAAGACTATTCGCACTATTTGGGACTATTCGCTATTCGCTATATGCGACTATTCGCTATTCACTATTCGGGTTTTCCAAACACCCATTAGTTTTGCTGGGTCAATTTCAACTTGAAAGTCTTCATTTCATAGATTCTGTCAATTTTGGTCATGTTGTTACAGAAAATATCCAATATCACATCCTCTCTCACAGACTGAAGTATTTTGGTTTGAAACATCTTCCCCACCCCTCTGATCTGGCAATCCCAGTCTAACCTGATCATACTATTATGTTCTTTTAAGAACTTTTGTTTTTGATCCCAGAACCCTTTATTTCTCCTTCTTCTCCTTCTCTGGAAATTTCCAATAAACATTTCTTAGAGTTCTGGGTATGGATATTTGATAGATTGAACTACATGAACACAGTAAATTATACATGTACATGTACAGTAATGGTAGTGGGTTATTGACCAAGCATGAGGTCAAGTTGGCTGGATATACATGTATGGAGAAAAAAGAACAAGGCCAATATCCAGCTATCTTGACCAAACAAGCTTGGTCAATAAAGGATTTAAATCATATTGAAGAAGAACACTTTTTTCTTGTGGGACACAGTGGGTAAATTCAGGTGTGCAAGATACGTCATGTACGTGTATAGCGCCATCTTGCTTGCTTGGGTAACCAATCACAGCACAGGATTCAGTTCATCTTGCATCTGCGTGGAGTTATAGCTAGCCATATAATAATTGAATATAGAGTTCATTTTGGATTGACAGGTATATAATTATCCTCTAATATGTAGGTTATAGCCTGACTGCCCAGGTCACTGTGTGATGTTCTTATACTCTGACAGAAATCTAATCTCTTGGTACTATACTGGAGTAGACTTTTTCAAACCTAAACTTTTTTCTTTTTACTTTAAAAGTCACGAAACAGAGAGAACTCAATGGGATCATCCAGAGATGGTCAGTTTGATGGAGGAAATAGGTAAACAAGTCTTTGGATTACTCATAATAAGAATTTTTTAACAAAATGCATTAATTACAAACAGCCAAAAAAGCACTACATGGCCCATGACAGTTTCTACCTCTTATTACTTAATATTGTCACCACAGAGTGTTTTCACTTCTAATCAGCGTCGAAAAGTAATTGGTTTTGCATTTCTTCACTATACAATTAGCTTAAAAATCTTGCACCACTTTTTCATCCAATCAGTAGACTGTAGTAACCAAACTGATCAGTACAGCCCATTTTCCCGTGCTTATGTATTAATTTATTGTGAGTTTTGAGTGGTTCTTTGGATTACTTGTACTGTATCTGTGTCCTTTGTAATTTTCTAGAGTGATTACTTTCAATTGGTTTTGGTTTTACAACACTCCATCAGTTGAAAACTGTTATAAGAATCATTTGATGCAAATTCACGAAGTCACCCTTACATGTACATGTAGTCTATGGCCAGTTGTAACATACAGTCAAGTACCATAGTTCTCTTAGAACTGACTTAGTATTCGGTAAAGTTGCTACTGACCAAGAGACCGACAGTACATGTATATCTACAATAACCATGTATCAAGATTGCTCTTACTGAATTGACTTCTTAGACGAGTTAAAAGACTATATTACGCATGCATTCGCTAGTAAGATCTATTTGAGATCCTATTACACCCAAATTACTGTTTAGTTAGTGTTTCCAGACTAGCGATAATAATAAATGTGATTTTTATTCATCTATTGTAGAGAGTTTGAGTAACATCAAGTATGCTGCATACCGCACGGCGATGAAACTAAGAGCTATTCAGAAGAAAACTCAATGTATGTTCAACTTTCACAAAACATAACTATATAGTCAGGTCATGTAATACATGCATGAATGTGCTGTCGTTTTAACAATTGGTTACACACGGACATGTGTGCACAGTTTTAATAGCAAGAACAGAGTATGCACTCAGACAGTTTGTATGACAAGGAAGTGGTTAAGTTGTTCATATGCATAACACTGTACATGTATAATGTACTGTCTCAAATGGTTTAATACTTAAAATCATCTAGAGCCCGTCGATAGCTGGAACAAGGCTGACAAATTTTTAACATAATTACGACAAAATTACTCACTGACTGACAAAAAAGTCCAAATTTCATTCATTTAGCTACATTGTATATCCATCTATGTACCTGTAAATATTTATCCTAGCCATTGAAGTTTTGCTGATTTTATGTCAACTGGTGAAATACTTATTAATAAGACAATACATGTGCATGTACAGTCCAGTTCTAAAGACTGACTATTGTTTTGTATCTTTGTTTCTGTAGTATACATGGTTGATTTACAAGTAATAAAAGAGTCCCTGAGACTGGAAGGAATTGAGAATGGCTATGTGGAGGGAAACCTGTCTGTACCTGAACTTACAAGAAACATTGCCAATATCTTTGACAATCACAATCAAACTGGTAGCCGTGATGGTTCCATAGATGTCTCCCTTGCAAGTGAACTGGTGCTTAACTGGATTCTGAATGTCTATGACCCGTAAGTACAGAAATATTATAAGGTTTGACGCAATAACAAAAACTACAAAACTGAAGTTGGATATTTGCTGTATAATTAAAATTTAATGTAACTTCTTTCTTTGCTGTTGTTAATTAAATTTTAGATGACTTCTATGTTACGTTCACTTGGTGATTATGATTAGTAATAATTTAGTGAAGTTGGACTGAGTGGAGAACAATTCAGGGAGCAATCAGGTGATTGGTTTCAAAATTGGACAAGCACATAGTGCGAAGGCGATTTGAAATGAATCTGCACAATTACTTCCTGAATTATGCAACACAAAGTCCAATAACTAGTTATATTGTATCAATGAGTCAGACAAATTTCAAAATTAAAAAAAGTCGTCTGAGCACTTCGTTTGAGGTATAGGAATAAGTGCTTTCCATAAGTTTTTGAAACTGTAGGAAGCATTAACAAGGAAGCCATTATTTTTCTAACTTAACTTAGATAATAATTGCCAGTAATAGTAATTTTGGACTGAGTGGAGTACAATTTAGGGAGTAAACTGGTTAATGATTTCAAAAATGGATGAGTGCACAGCGAGAGGGCGATTTGAAATGAATCTGCGCAATTACTCCCTGAATTATACAACACAAGGTCCCATTATTTTTACTTGGTTATGTCTTTACTTGTTTGTGTATTTTTTTCTTAGTTTGTAAAGCACCATGAACTTAGGATATGTCACTATATAAATATGATTTATAATTATTATAGTAATTGGACCAAGTGGAGTGCAATTTAGGGAGTAATCATGCGAGTAATTTCAAAAATGGACGAGCGCGAAACGCAAGGCTGATATGAAATTAAGAGCAGGATCACTCCCTGAATTGTACGACACAAGGTCCAATTAATAATTAATCGTATCTATAACAAATTTACCTAAATTTTGGAATTAAAAATGTCTTTTCAGAACTTCTTTTGAGCGAAAACGTCCATAGCGCTTTTCATAAGTTTTGAAAACTGTGTGAAACATTGCAAAAGAAGCCATTAAAGCGTGTGTAATTGACATGCGAATCAATTGGGTTTCCACTTAACAGGTATCCAATTACAAAAAGTTCAAATTGGATACCTGTAATTGGACACCCATGTGATCACGCACAGATTACGTGACAAATAAGCGCGAGGAGAGCCAATCACGATAGAGAATTTTGTTATAGATATGATTATTATTATTACTATTATTAATTACTAATCGATCATATCAATTTTAATTTATTTAACAAATTTCAAATGTAAAAAAAGTCTTTTGAGGTCAATGTTAAAGTACAAAGGTCAATAGTACTTTCCATTAGTTTTTCAGGGAACATCAACAAGGAAGCCATGATAATTTTTCTATTTTAAAATATAATTGCCCTAATTTTTTTTTTTTTAATTACAGGGGAAGAACGGGTTTTGTACCAATTCTTTCACTGAAGGTTGGTCTCTCTGTGATGTGCTCTGAAAAGGTTCAAGAAAAATACTCCTGTAGGTGTACACAATGTACTGGACTAGCTTTAAATTGAATTTAGTTTGCTAGTAATTTAGTTGGTACATAAACATGTTGGTTGATACAAATTTCTTTTAGTACATGAGGGTCATTGGATTGGAGAAGTGAGAGTTGACCATATCCCGGGAGGTGGGACTCCCAAATGAAAAGGTCGGGGAGGCTTGTCTTTAAATTGGAATTAAATCCTTAAAGGAGACCAATCTGGGCGTGGTTCAAGCTTTATTTGATCCCTGAAGGATACCAATTAAAACAACATATGCTTGATTACCAGCTGCTGTTTAAGAAAGGAGCCCGGGCTACCAGACCGGACTCGAGAGACCAACAGAAATCAAGCCTATTGTAAACACAGAAATAGGAGCATTTCTTTTATTATTATTTCTTCGATTGCACCCTAAAAGATACTTTGACAGCTAAAAATAGACTCTGCACATGGTGTTTCATCATGAGCACCCTAAGTCAAAGTGAGACCAGAATCCTTGATTTATACCCCTAAGCGAGACTGACCTTTTCCTATGGGAGTACCCTCCCCCCTCCCCCTCCCCCTGGAACTGTATCATT